TTTTGGGCAGAGCAATTAGGAGGTTAGGGCTAGGAGCACGAAGTCTGGATTCAGGAAGATTCATCTTCCCTGAGGTAAAATCTGTATGACCCTGGGCAGGTCACTTAACCCTGTTTGCCTTAGTTATCTCTTCTGCAAAATGAGCTGGAGAAGGAAGTAACAAGCCTCTGTAGTTAGTGTTGAACGTGACTAATCAACTGAACAATAACATACATCTCTTCTAAACTGGAGAGAAAATAACAAGCACAAATCTGTATAACAGCATTGTTGGCCACACTAAAGAAAAAAGCTTTTTGGTTCTTTCTGAATGGTTAAAGTTTAACACTTGAAAATTTGGAAAATGCTTTACATATTTTTTCTTATTTGAGTCTCATGACAACCCTGTAAGGTAGTACGTATTATCATTCCAATTTTATAGGTGAAGAAACATGGGGTAAAAAAGCTAATAAAAGTCTTATTTTAATTCAGGTCTTCATGATTCTCATGTCTGGGACTACATACTGTACCATCTAACTGTCTCCATAAGCATATAAAACTCTGTCAATTGATGCAGAGTAGTAAGGCAATGTGATGGGGTATGGGCCCAAGTCGATACCTTTGTCCCTCACCCCAGAAATTGTCTATGGGCCACAGAAAACCCTATTTGAATTTTACCTTGTCAAGAAAATCTTACTCTGAAGTTATTCTTATTCATATCACCTGGCTCTTCCTTATCACCTAGGCCCTATCTCCCAATTATTTGTTACCCTAATTAAGCCAAGCCCTCCACTGTCTATTCTGTGGGTTATACTTCCCATTCTTGATCTTATCCAGAGCCCATTCAACCTCCCAGACACTCCCATGGGGATTCTTCCAGGACTCCTTCCCCATTCACCCCAGCTTCAAGATCTTCCTCGCAGCGCCTCCTCTGGTCACCCCAACCTACTTGGCCTCTCCTAAATCCCTCCCATAGTCTTTCTGTGTATAAGATCCATGCTGGTCACCATTTAGGGCTGAGACTTCCCACTTGTCCTTATGATTCTTTAAGAGTCCTTAATAAACGTTATCTTTGGCTGAAAGTAGGGTTAGGGTTAGGGATATTCTTGGCAAAAGTTTCAGTTGAGGAAATGAGGCAAAAGAGTGGTTAAGTAACTTTCCCAAGGTCACAAGCTAGTAAGTGTCTGAGGCTGGATTTGAATTCATATCCTCCTGACCTCAGGACTAGTGTTCTGTTCAAGCCATCCCACCTTACAAATAGGAAGTAATTGACAGAGGGAAGGCACCAGAATTAAAAAGTATTAAGAAGATGAGATTTTAACTGAGACTTGAATATAAGGACTACTAGATACCCTCTTTGATCTTTCTCTTTTCCAAACCGAATATCCCATATTTCAACCATTTTTTATTATGTGTGATCTTGAGGCCTTTCACACAATCTTGGTTGTCAAAAAAATATTCTTAAGCTCTCTACTTCCTAAAAGATATCGTTTTAATCTGAAAAGGCTTTTTAAACATTTTTTTTCCTATTCTAATCTTAGCCAGTACAGAAACAGCCCTAAATAGGTTAAGTGACTTTACCAGGGTCAAACAACTGTTAAGTTTCTGAGATTGGATGCAGAACCAGATCTTTTTGGCTCCAAGTCCACTGCACTAAGCCTAATTGCTGCTCAGTATGCGCAAGAAAATGCAAATATTTCTTGCCTAAGGTTTGTTTTTCTTTTTCAGAGATGTAATAAATTCAGTGTGTAACTTTAAAATATCTCCTACTTGTTCATGCTTCTGGCCTTCTTTCTGTTCTCAATGTTACATTTTTAAATGCTTCATTTATCCTCTTTCTTTTTTCTTCACAATTCCATTAATTAAGCATTTGTTAGGAAATTATTCAAATTTTAACATACGATTGAATCTGTTGCCAGTGTATGTTGGATATGAGAAACTTATCAGAGAGACTTAATTTTTTTTTTAGTAAGCTTATCATTTGTCCAATCTCATTTAAATTGCTTTAGGTTTTTTCTTCATTGTGAGGGACTGTCTGATGTTGGCTACTGCCAGGTGGGCGTTGTGGCAAGATTGGGGTAGAATCTGGGTATTTTTGGAAGTCGAGGCAGGGGCTGTGGTAGGCGGAGTTGTGGTGAACTGGGATGGGCTGGGTACGGAGAAGCCCTGAGGCAGTGGGCAGTGCTTGTGAGATAAGCTGGGTGCAAGGAAGTAGCCGGAGCATGTGCTCCTGAGGCAAGGGGCGGTGCCACGTGGGAGTGGAATGGCAGAGGACGAGTTCCCTTTGCTTAGTCCCCTCCCTATCCCCAGATGCCTCCTTCCTGTGACCTTCCTGACTTCCTGGGTCCCTTTGTGTAGCACTGACCCCAGATGCCTCCTCCCGGTATCTGAGTCTGACTTCCTAGGTCACGTACTCTTTGTCTATGCACTAATCCCAGACACGTCCTTCCTGTATCCAGTCCTGGCCTCCTGTGTCACTCCCTCTCCCTTGGTGCGCTAAACTCAGACAGCCCCTTCCGGTATCTGACCCTACAATCATTGGCTAGTAGGCGGGCTGAGGAGGAGGGGCTTAGTAGGTTCTGAGGAACGGTCGTGGTCGGGAGCGCGCTCTCTTTGCTTCTGCTCTGTTGCTCTGGCCTTCCTGCTTGGCCTTGCTGTGATGGCCTCTGAATAAAGCTCGGGTGTTGGCAGCCTCCTGATGGGTCATCTCTGTGTGTGTATCCGGGTAAGCACCGAAGACTGGTAAGTAAGTATGACTCTGGCAGCTTGCTCCTTATAGGAGGAGAGTGTTTGGCGCGGCCGGCAGAAGGTTGGCGCGGCCGGTACACCAGCTAATGGGCATTCCCTCACTTTCCAATTCTTTGCCACCACAAAATGAGCTACAAAAAAAAGTTTTTATAAGTGTAGGTCCTTTTCGCTTTTTTATGATCTCTTTGTGGTATTGCTGGATCAAAGGGTAATTGCTCTCCAAAATGTTTGGACCAATGTGTTTTAGTTTTGTTGGTGCAAAAATGCATTAATCTTTTAATCAAATTGTTGGCTCATTGAGCTTGCAGATGCACTGAAAGCCAAGTTATGTTCTTAAAACTATGTATATCCCTTCCTTGGTATTGATCCTATATTTCATGAGTTTTAAATGTTCAGAAATTCAAATCCCATTCTCAGGTACCTCTTCTTAACCAGATACTCAATTTCTTCCTTTAGCGTAAATTATCTCTAAGGTATTTCCAACATAGACATTCTTTGATTCTAGGACATCTCATTTTCTTTTTTTCTGATATATGTATGTATGTATGTATGTATGTATGTATGTATATGTGTGTGTGTGTGTGTGTGTGTGTGTGTGTGTGTATATAAAGAATAGTTTTGACTTTTTTTATTCTAGCTAATGGACATGGGCTTCACAAGAGAACATGCTATGGAGGCCTTATTAAATACTAGTACTATGGAACAAGCCACTGAATACCTGTTAACACACCCTCCCCCAATCATGGGTGGTGGTGTTAGAGTAAGTATTCATTTTTGTGTATTATTTTTCCATTGTCAGCATTCTGAGGGGTAAAAAGTCCAGAATGTTATCAAAAAAATAGACATCTATTTGATATGTATAGTAGATAGAGAGCCAGAATTGGGAATGTCTTTGTTCAAGTCCATGCTTCAATGTGTCATGATTTAGTGACTCAGGCATTTTTGGTTGTTTTTTTTTGGAGGGGGGTGAGGTTGGTTTTGTTGTGGTTTGTTTTGTTTTTTGGGGGTTTTTTTTGGTTTTTTTTTTTTTTTTTGGTTTTTTGGTGAGGCAGTTGGGGCTAAGTGACTTGCCTCGAGGCACTCAGGTAGTGAGTATTATGTATCTGAGGCTGGATTTGAACTTGGGTCCTCCTGACTAAAGGGTGCTCTATCCATTGTGGCACCTAGCTACCCCACAGGCACTTTTTTAACACAAGTTTCAGAATAGGTGCTGCTTGGCATTATTAATGGAAATTTTATAATCTGCAGACCCCCTCTGGCAAGGGTTATAAATATAAATATGTCATTTATTTTGCATTTTAAGATTAACAGTGCGTTTTTCTAATTGCCTTGTTTTATCCTTAAAACTCTGGGAAGTTGATACTATTATTATCCACCTTTTATAGATAAGACAGACAAGCAGATTAAATGATTTGTCCATAATCACACAGCTAGTGAATATATAAGACAAGTTTTGAATTCTTGTCTTCTTCACACAGTCTGTCCACTATCAAGCTGCACACATCTGGCTAAAATGAAATTTTTTAAATTAATAAATTCCCATGGGGAAAAACTCGTCATTATTATTATTTAGTGATAAAAAGAACTTAAATGTGTTAATATGGAGTAACACCTTTTCTGTGATTCAGTTTCCTGACTACTGTTTCTATTAGATTCACTGAATACATAAGCTTGATTCAGGTTAAAAACCTAACTATATAGACTTTTATACAGTCTGTCCACCTATCCTGAATAGTTGTATGTGAGGCTGGTATATGCTAGTCCTGCCATTATATAGTTCCTGCTGTAATCTTTAAATACTTCATACACACACGTGGATACACACTCCAACATGAAAAATAATTAGACCTGCCTGTTTTCTTAGCAACCAAGCCAAAGGAAGAGGTTTTGATGGATTCTAAATATTGAATGAATGTGTTGCTTTAGGATCTCAGCATGTCAGAAGAGGACCAGGTGATGAGAGCCGTTGCCATGTCTCTAGGAGAGGACATCCCAGTGGATCAGACAGTGGAATCATCTGAGGTAAAGAGTTGGTGGCGATTTCTCCCTTAATGTTTCATTGGAATGAAAGCTGTTTGTCAAGGGAGAGTCATGACCAGGAGACTTTAGTCCTGCTCACTCATATCATTCCACATTTCAAAACCAAAAAAACCACAGACCTTTTATTTCTCTCTAAGAATTACTAGTAGGTATCCAGTAGGCCTGGTAAGGAGTTTTTGAGTAAGAATTGACTTCTTCTTGTGGCTGTTGGGTATCGTTGTTAATCTGCTCCACTATTAGTTATAGTTGAACACTGCTATCATTGCAAAATTTCTCTGCTTTGGAGGCTACAGGAAAACTCTTTGTATGTAGATAGGTGATACTTGCTTAACTTATTCTGGCTGCTGGGATCAGCCTTTTTTTGTGTGGCCACACCCTGAAGAATCCTTGTACACACTCTCTGTATTGCAGAAAATTTTTCCTTAACTAACTTTGTTCTAACTGTGGTGGCTCCCTTGTTCTCTCTCTCCGTGATCACTGTCACCTGCTTCCAGGAAGCTGCTTGTAGAAAGGAAGAGGAAGAGCAGAAGGCCCGGGAAAACCAGGAAGAAGAAGAGGCCAAGTGTCTGGAGAAATTTCAGGATGCTGAGCCCCTGGAACCAGAAGAACTGCATAATTTCACAGACACCATGTTACCGGGCTGCTTCCACTTCCTGGATGAGCTGCCAGTCACTGTGTACCGAGTGTGTGACTTGGTTATGACTGCCATCAAACGCAATGGAGCTGATTACCGGGACGTGATTCTGAAGCAGGTGGTCAATCAGGTGAGGGATCCTGTGCCTTGTGAAAGTACTTGGACACCCGGTGATTTAGCTTCTTAGAAGCAGTAGGGGGTACAGAAGAACACTTTGTCCAGTTTGAAGCTGGGGGTGCAGCCTGAAGTCAGGAAGACCCAAG